GGGGGGGGAGGGGAGATGGTGACCAATACTATATTTTCCAGATTGAAATATTAGTTCTTTAAACTTTTTTGCCTTAAATCTCAATCATGCAATATATAGCTTAATTCATAACCTACCAGTGCTGTCATGGTTAAAAAATTATTGTTACATCTTTGTTGCACAGTTATTCAGCTATCATTAAAAGGCTTTCAGTAATTATGCCTCCCCCCGTCTCTTCTCTTAGTGTCCACCACTAATGTTACGTTCAAGCTGATAAAGGCAAATTCGTATTTGGCTGTTTGCCTGCGCTCTAAACATTTTACGAATTTTTCTGTTTATAATAAATAAAAAATCTCGCAATTATTCATTATTTTACACGATGAATTTGTGTAAAATCCATACATGCCATACATGCAGCATTAATGATGTACCTTTTGTGCTTTGTATCCTTAATCGTTTTTGCAGAGTTGAAGCAGCCGTTGTTCGTATTATGAAAGCTCGTAAAAAACGGCCGCACAACCTTCTTGTCGCCGAGGTAAAAATATATGAATTGTAACCGATATTTGTAAAACAGTTTGTACGAATTTCTCTTTATTTTCCAAGTTTCCCACGAGCCAACGGCGCGGGTACTAATTCCGCACGGCTATTTACACCCGGACTTATATTGAAGCTTATATTACGTATAGCTTAAACGTATAATAACATACCTAACATATGTCCTTGGAAATTTATAATTTTGTAATTGAAAGTCATATTTTGGAGGATTTTTCGATTTTAAAAATATTCTTAATAAAATTATCGCGTTATGACTATATATTCAAACTTTTTAATTAATTTAATTTTTACGTTTCTCAAGCGGCACCCAAACTTTAAAAATATGTGTAGTACTTCGAAAAAGGTTGCGTTATTTGGTAGGGATGCAACTACCTGAAAATATATAAGGAGAATTTGGACGTTTCGAGCGAAAGCCCGTCGACTGGAAACGTCGAAATTCTCCTTATATATTTTCAGGTAGTTGCATCCCTACCAACGAAAGCGTCTTCATTTGAGTGGCACTGTACCTACACTGGCAAAGACAGTTCATGTTTAGTGCTTTATCTGTAAAATTATGCTAAAATGAAGATATTTTAGATGGTTCGCCAAAGAGAAACTGATGTCTATTGTTCAGTACATTTTGCTTATATTGCTGTATATAAATATGGCGTCAATTTTACAGCATTAATGATAATTACATTTAAACTGGCAATATTTAACCATTATTTTTTGTTTCTCAACTGCCGGATACGTTTAAAAAGGTTGTAACTGTGTAAGCTACAAAATAAAGCTTAAACAAAGTAATTTTGAGCGGAACGCCAAAAACATTTTAGGTTTTTTTATCGCAAATACGCGACACTGAAAAAAATGGCTCTTAATTAATACGAAAATTTGTGGGGCTAATGGACATCGGCCAGGCACAAGTTGTATATATTTTTGGATGTAAATTGGATGAGAAATGCAAATTGAATGATACGTAGCCTAATTCGCTGACGGAGGTATGCAGTCTCCGAGTGCCCTCCAGTATTATTATTGTTCTATTGCTGTTTTACCACATGCGCTATTTTTTTTTTGTTCCAGGTCACAGAACAACTTAAATCTAGATTTATGCCTAGTCCCCAAGTTATCAAGAAAAGAATTGAAGGGCTGATAGAGAGAGAATACTTAGCAAGGACGCAAGAAGATAGGTATGAATGATTAATCGCCCAGCGGCAGGTAACCATTTGGTCGAACCCTCAGCAGCTCGACTGAATTCCATATCAGAGCGCCTTTCTCCAGGAATACCATTTGTTTTTTCTCGCGACATCTCACTTGAAGAAATCATCAGGAAGTAGAATTTGACCAATTGATATAGAAAGTGACCAATCCACTAATTTATATTAATTATGCTTTTGACATTGAGCAATTGAATAAGTTGAAAGCTCATTTGGAAATTCGCTAATTGGTGACGAATGTGACCAACTCACTATAGCATGGATTATTGTCGAGCATCATGGCTCTTCGCAGAGAAAGTGGACTGATCACGATTACGGGTTTTTAACATTATAAAGAAAGTATATCAATAACTTAAGCTGTATAAATGTCGTACTCTGCCCTCTGTTGTTAGCGTAAATTGCCTGCTGCTGGGCATACATGGTACCCCATGACCTTACCTTTAGATTTTGGAAGAGTTTCTAAATTTCCAGGTTGTGTACTTGTCAATTACCCAGAATAGGCCAAATTCGTGGTCCCAGTCATGCTTGCCAACAATATATAGACTATGCCTAGTGTTGTTTCCATTATCTATGTTCATCAGAACATCACGGATCACTTTTACCAATTTCAACAAATTAAATTTTACAAACTTTCTGACGACATCTATAAGCGGAAATTCTGTCCTGTAATGAACACTCTAATTTATGGACCTACACCGCTTTACATAAATAGTGAAGCCGCGTTCGTTTTATCTTGCCGTGTTTTTTTTTCTCCATTTTTGGCGGCGGTAACCTTACCTGCCATCATGATCACCTTAATCTATTCTAAAATATACTATTTTCTGATACTGTAGACAACCTTGTGTAGACAGCGCTGATATTCTTTCTTTTCATGTCATTTGTAGAAAAGTTTATGTTTACGTTGCGTAAAGAAGATAGCCAACCTGCAGTACGTACATTGAATTAACAAATGAAACGAACTACATTGGGTATATATGTACGCTGGAAAGTGGGATTGTTATGAATTTAATTAAGAACCATGACTTTGGCACTCTCATGACAGTACATTCATTCAGCAGCAAAACTGAGATCAAACTAAATGCACTGTGATTTTATTCTGAATAATCCTGACATCAGAACAAAATTGAATGTATAGGTGGAGAAGGAAACTAGAACCACATAGCTGTAATTTCTTTACATCACACGAAACTATTTTGACTGATATTTTTCAAATTTTTCTTGTTATGTTTTCCTAAACGAGAGAGAAGTCCTGACATCCTGTGTACACCATTTGTTGTATTGATTTACTCAAAGTTTTGGGGGGTTTTTGGCTGATGGATAAGTCACATTTTTCTTGTACCAACATTTTCTTTTAAAGAAACGTTTTACCTGAATTAGAATCGAGTACATTGTCATTGACTGTAGTGATAAACACTAAAGAGATATTTCATGCAAGAAAAATGTCCACAAATGTAAAATCTCAAAATGTGAAATTTTCTCTGCTAAACGTTAACATTTTGGTGTGATTTTGCCAAAAAATATTACATGTTAGTAACGAAGCACTCTGAACACTTTAGATAAAGTTCTTTAATAACATATCACAAACAAGCAACTTCTCCACAAAATATCTCTCACGATCTCACAATTATTTCAGCTATAAAACTTGCACACTTTCGTCTCTCGCCATGCGGTCATACTACTAAAATCACATACGCCAAAAGGTACTTAAATTACATACTCCAAAAGACACTCCTTCACACTCCCCCCACCTGATATCAACATAATTAAAGACTATACTACTAAAACTTTCCTGGTCAGTTCATAATACACTATCTTAAACGTGTAACATTCAATTACTATAAACTGTTTAACTTATCTGTTCAGTAATCCACCACAGGTATTCCATAACGATCTGGCACCCTTCGATTGTGTCTAAGGTTGTAACCATGCATCACGTTGGCACCATCATCGTTTCTTTGAACATTCTGGCGTTCTTCAGGATTCGGCAGTTCATTACCAATTTCGTCAAAGTCACATTCAGAACTTTCGGCATCTTCACTTTCTTCGTAAACCTGATCAATATCATAGTCAATCGAAAATCGTTTTAAATTGTTCGCATGAACAATCTTTCTTGTCTTATTGGCTAGCGGCTCTATCTCACAGCTAGTATCTTGAACATCAACAACTAGATACGGCCCAACATATTTTTCGTTTAATCCTCGAGCTCTAAAGTTCTTTAAAAGTACCGTATCTCCAATGGTAGAAAAGTCTTTTCTCCGGCATGCACGATTTCGTGAGTCATAACAACGTTTCTGTTTCTTCTGGGACTGTTCGATTCTCTCCAATACAATCTTTCGCATGTTATTCTGTCGCTTCTTTAAATCTTCTAGGTACTTGGCGGGTCCACGAGTCGGTTCGGTTTCTAGTTCTTCAGGTTCTACTCCTAGAGGCAATCTGGGATCTCTTCCATACAACATTTCAAATGGTGTTGCTCCGGTAGAAGACTGCTTGCTAACTCGATACGCTGGTAAAGCATGAGGTACTTGCTCATCCCAATCGTCCTTATCATTGTTAACTCTCATTCGAAGGAGAGTCTTTAGAATTCCATTGAAACGCTCGCATAGTCCATCTGTGAGTGATAAGCGGTAGTTCTCCTCTTTTCTATCCCAAACAACTGACACATACTTGCTACTAGATGAGATTCAAAATTACGGCCTTGGTCCATGAGCAAAACTGAAGGCATTCCATGCCTGGCAAACACTTGTTCCAAAGCTTGAACTGCTGTCTCCGCCTCTTGTTTAGGAAGAGCTACTGCTTCTGTATACTTCGTATAATAGTCAATAATGGAAAGGATACACTTGTTTCCTTCACGTGTTAACTTCAAAACCAATAAGATCTACTCCTATCATGTAAAATTGCACTGGGACAATGTCAATTGGTTTCATAGGACTTCGAGGTCTTGGTACAACTTTGTTTCTCGCACAAATTTCACAGCTTTTACAAAATGTTTCTACATCTTTGTAAAATCCAGGCCAATAAAACCTTCTCTGAATCATTTCGAATGTTTTAGCTATTCCAAGGTGACCAACTTGCTGGTGGGCATCTTTCAAAATTGCAGGTGAAGCCAACTTAGGTACAACGAACTGTAACGTTTCTTTACCATCTTCATCGATCCATTTTCGACAAAGAACATTCTTTTCAACGACTAAAGATTCAAAGACATTGTACAACGCTTTCAACATCGGGCTGGTATCTTTTGATTTAGCATCTGGTCTTAAACCATTCAATACCCATCTCCTTACCAACAGAATATCATCATCCATGTTTTGAGTCTCTTCAAGCTCCGTCCACGACAATGTGGAAATCCGAATGCTGTTAACCGGGGCACGGGAAAGTGCATCAGCATGTTGCATCATATTACCAGGCTTATGTTCTATAGTGTAGTCGTACTCTTCCAGTTTCAAAATCCAGCGTGCTAGTTTACCATTTGGATGTTTAACGTTTTTCAACCACTTTAGAGCCTTGTGATTTGTATATATGACCACTTTTCGTCCGTACACATAGGGATGGAAATATTGCAGAGCCCAAGCAACAGCGTATGCTTCTTTCTCTGTGGTAGTCCAGTTCTTCTCTGAACCTGAGAACGCTTTCGATGCACAAGATATAACTCTCCCTCTCCATCCTCTTGTACCAAAACAGCTCCTACTTCTACATCACTTGCATCGGTGTATAGAATATAATCGCCGTTTGGTTCTGGGAATGCCAGAACAAGACTCGACATAAGTTGCTCTTTGTCAGTCTTTGATAGTTTGGAATGCATTTTCACAGTTCTTATCCCATACAAATGACATGTCTTTCTGAGTGAGACGGTTTAGTTGACTAGCAATGTCACTAAACCCAGAGATAAACCTGCGGTAGTACGAAGCTATACCAAGGAAGCGTCTTAACTCTGTCAGGTCTTTCGGAGTTGGATATCTGCTGATAGCTTCCACTTTCTTGCAATCTGGAGCCAAACCTGAATCTGAAGTAGTAAAACCAATGAAGTCTACACTTGATTGTGCAAAATGGCATTTTGAAGGTTTCAGTCCTGCTTTGCTGATTGCTTCTAGAACTGCTTCCAGATTCTCTAAATGTTGCTCAAAAGACCGACCAGTTACCAGTACATCATCTAGGTATACAAGACACCTAAGAGGCAAGAGCCCTTTCAGAACGACTGACATAAGCCTTTGAAACGTAGGAACCGCATTTGTCAACCCAAATGGCATGCGTAGAAAACTCAAAATGTCCTCCACCGGGGATAACAAAGGATAACATCCAAGAGTCTTACCCAGAATCCCTATTGGGGAATTGTTTGCTGCCTCAGCAACGATATCAGACGGAGTCAAAGAGGCATTGTTTTCCTTTAATAATTGCCACTCATTCTTGGTAACTAGTGAAATTGAAGCACCCGTATCAACAATACAAAGTTTAAATTTCCCATTTATCTGGGCTTAAACCATGAGGTTTTTCCTTTTGCTTGCTGGGGAATTGTTGATAATCTTCAGGGATATTTTCAAGCACTTTTCTACTACCGGTATACGGTAGTAAATACTCAATTTTCAATTGAGTTTTGAAACTCAATCTTCCTCCACAATGATTTTTTTCACACTACATCTGGAAGTAATTGCAGCAAATGCGAATATAACGGATTAAAATATTAGATAACATACATACACAGTACATACATTCACACGCATACATCAATAGTCAAACATACATTCAAACATATTTCATTTCAAACATGCCGAACTCGCACAAGGTTTAAAAACAAACGATACCCCATAGTTGCATTCTTGTATTGTTCAAACTGAAACTCGCGAATATCATCAACAACACAAAATATGGTCAGCGGTTATGGGCCTTATGGCGGTACTTCATGTAATACAGTAATCGATAATGGCGAACACAGCCACGAGGTATTGTCATTGATATAATTTATAAATAATTTTTTTAAACTATAATATCTGCATGCATTTTATTTGTTAATTTGATATTTACTGTGTGTTAAGAATAGTGTTTGTTTAGTATAAATGTCATCATAATTACTATTTTTTTGTGCCCGTCCTGACCTATGCCCGTCCTGACCTATGCCCGTCCTGACCGCGTAGCTCAGTTGGAAGAGCATTGGGCTAGTATTCCAAAGGTCGTAGGTTCGAATCCCACCGTGGCCGGGCATATTTTTCAAGCTCGCCCGGTGTGGATATACACTCAGAGTAACACCACAAATATCATATTCACCTGAGTACACTACACCAACACAGAAAAAAATTCTTGTTCGTTTTGTTTATGTTTTTGTTCAGATTGTTTGATCAGACTTTAATCTTTATGGAAAAAATTTACTAAAACTCTAGTAAAAAGTATGTACTGAGAATTAAGATGGTGAAACCAAGCCAAAGTGGGAAATCTCACAATTATCCTTCTGGTAGGAAAAGCTATTCAACAAGTCGTGCTGGAGTTGGCGGAAGAAAGAAGAAAAAGTCTACAACACCATCAGCTCCAACATATTTTGATATATTGTTGCAAACGCAAACTCAATCTCGATGCAACTGTAAGCCTATAACCCTTCAATAATCATATTAATATTTATGTTTGTTCATTATACAGTCAGTAGTTTCTTTTATTATTGTCTCAATAAAAATAAAACTAATTAAATATCGTCTTTATTTTTAATGTAAATGTTCCACTAAAAACCTGTTTTTCTATATAATTTTGTTCAAAAAGCTGTCGAAAACTGTTTCACTTCTGAGACACAACGTCGCGTAGAGGAATACTCATGCTCATACACACTATAAATGTGCACCACAAACAGGGCCGCATATTACCGGAGGTATGAAGGGGTGTGACACCCCTATAATTTTGAGAAATAGTCCAAAAAGTCGGTCCCAAATGAACCATTTGTCGGTCCCGATCGTCCGGTGCAAACATTACGCAAAATTATTGTTTCCGTGAAATTTATTTTTGGACAGTGTCCGAAAAATAATAAGTAAGGTCACAGAATTGCTAATTGCCATTATACACTGTCTGAATCAACTTCCTTTCTGTGCTCTACAGCCAGCTGATGACCAAACTAGACACTGAAAATGCCATTTCCGACGACCTAGAGACTTCACACGCAAAAAGTCGATCCCGAAAAATTTTACACGCCTCCAAAATATTTTGGAATGTGCATGTGCCCCTGACCGCAAAATATTTTAACGTCCTGCCCCCCAAAAGAAACTCAATCTTCTTCTAAAAAACGGTAGTAGACTAAAGTGCTTGAAAATGTCCCTGAATCTTATCTTAGGTTGTGTTTCGTTTTCCACGCAAGTGCGGTTTTGCTGCTTGTTCATACCTTGATCTTGGCTTTGTACAGCCGCCTTAGATCGTCCAATACAGCCCGACAAAACTTGGCAATGTGACCTTCTTTGCCACAACGATAGCAAACTAGAGACTTTCTATTAGCGACATGCTTACCTTGACTGTTTTGCACATCACCTTGTCCTGGTTTGGAAATAAAACAGTTACGAGCTATATGTCCAGGCTTTTGACAGAAATAACATATTTTAGGCGACAACTGAGTGTCTTGTTTGAAACTGTTCCTTAATGTAGGTCATTGTTTTGCAACAAATCCATTGCATGCAAAACATGTAACCACCTTACGCATAGACACTAGTCCCGAGACTTGAGAGAAAGCATATTCTAGTATTTTTGACTTGATGAGGCAGGATTATTAGAAGGGATTTGAGACTAATGCAAATATATATATATGTAGGTATATTGATGGCATTTTATGGATACCTTCTAGTTTTACTGTTTAGTTTAAATATGCTGCTTTAGATAACACAGACGATGAAAACGATGCTTCAAGTATTGCCAAGACAAAACTTAAAGCAACTTCGGAAACCGAAAGGACCATTAACAGTAACATGTCTAGCAGCGCGAACATTGATCCAAATATAGAAGAATACGGTCACGTTGATCATTATGCTGCAGTTCAAGGTAAGATTTTCACTACCCAGTGGCCATTAATGTATTCGTAATTACATGAATGATATATCTTAAGTTATGAAGACTTTAGATTGCACAAACGATGACTATAACAGCCATTCTTTTAGTGCTCTGCCTCTGGAGAAACAGCCGCAGAATCCTCAAAGTAATCAATTTTACATGGCAGTTCATGGCTTGCATCGACTTATTGATTCTCGTATGTTACTCTACTTTTTCCATCTTTAGCCCCATCTTCTAGTTCTGAATCATCAGCCGAAGACAATCGCTTATTTGATAGTAACACAGACGACACTAGTAGTAGTCATATCTCCATGACCAGTACCATTCACGGTTCATCTGACAATGTCGCTCAAGAAACTTTTGAAAGGAAGGAAACATTAGATTTTCGTGAATTTAAACTCGAAAAATACGTGAAGGCATTTCCCTGTCTCTATTATCACTCAGTAGAAAAAGGATACAAATGTAAAACATGTGAATTGTTTCCACCGCTAGGTACTACTAGTGGTCAGTCTCGTCTCAAATTCGGACAGGAGGCTGTAAAGAATTTGACTGACCATCGAACACGTTATCTTCGTGGTCATGAGAAATCACATAAACATCAAAATGCAATAACACAGTACAAAGGTATAAGCAACAATAACTTACTGCATTTCTCTAGTCGTAAATAAAGTAGTATATAAAATTGAAAATTTTTGAATTAATAGAACTCTCTTAATATTGTCTTTCTCCAATTTATTTCTATAGTCATAGACTTAGTAGCAATATAATGTTCTGTTTTATTCTTTTTTATTCTTTATTAATGAATCTAAGATAACGGAATCCGCCATAATTAAGCTTTTTAAAATCACTGTGTTCCTTGTGAAAAAACACTGGGCAAATACTGCAAACTATGAGGAATTTGTCAGATTCATAGGTTCAGATTTGCAAGAACAAGTCTTAGGTGAATACCTGAAGTATGCAAATTCGCATAAGATTGCAACTGACTTGTTTCCAAATAGTGTCGGTCAGTTCATAAAAGTGGTCAGCGACTGGATGCGGAAAGAAACAATGTCGGACGTTAAGAACTGTAGTGACTTTACATTGCTTGTTGGTGAGTACAGACGAAAGTAACCGATCCGAGCTATCACTTTTCGCTCGCATTGTTAAGAATGGTAAAGTTGTTAACCACTTTCTCGACCTGTTGCACCTTTCACGTTGTGATGCCCAAAGTATTTCCACAAAGGTGTTCGAGTTCTTACAGGATCAAGAGCTCGACATTAAAAAAAAACAAGATTTGCTGGAATGGATGGCTGTTCAACAATGTCAGGAGAACATAATGGGGTTCGTGCACTGTTTGAAGGTGCCACTCCCCATTTCGCTTACATCCATTGTCGCAATCATCGCCTAGTGTTGTGCTTTGCACATCTGTTACCACAATTTGAAGATTTCAACAAATTTGATGGCCTCGTTTTGAATCTTTATTTGCTGCTGAAACACTGCAGTATCAAACATTCTATCTTCGAAGAGTTGCAAAACGCATATGAGCTGCGCGCATTAAAACTTTATAAAGGCAGCTGTTACACGCTAGCTCAGCCATGGCAAAGCAGTCCAACGAGTGTTAGACTGATACGAAGCTTTGGTAGAATCCCTTGACGCAAATTATCTTCGGAAACAGGAACCAGCTGTGCGTGGATTGAGGGACGAATTGATTCAACCAAAGGTCATCGCAACCATGTGTTTTCTGGCGGACGTCCTACAAAGTACGCACACATTACAAATAATTCTGCAGGGAGCTCGTCTGAACTTTTTTCAGATTCCGGTAGAAGTCAACAAATTGCTCAATACATTGAAGTCCGAAGCTGATCAACCGATGGAGCCACCAACTTGCTACTTCGCAAAACTCGATGATTTCAATGACATAGCTTCTATGTGGGCTGGTGTACGATTTCGATCACGCTCCTATGAGGAATTCGATATTAATAAATTCAATGCAACAACAGTAAAGCCTTTTATTGAAGCTCTCGTTAAGGAAATTGAAGAAGCTTTTGAAATTCCTGAGCATTTAAAAGGATTCACTGCCATCGATCCGCTTTCGTTTCCATCCGATGCGGCCAATCTGCAGGACTTTGGAAAAGAAGGAATTAATTCTCTCGCATCATTTTACGGCAAAGCGAACAGCGATGTAGAAACAGTGGTATCACCAGTGCTAAATGGGCAAGCTCTAGTTCATCAATACGAAGGCTACAATGTGTACGTAGTGAAACATAGCTGTGAATGGGAAACGAAGCAGAATACTGCTATTATTTCAGCTGAGCAAGAATTAAAAGGATTAAAAACACAAAAAAGAATCATTATCGCCACTCCTTAGCAAATTGAGCGTTTGAACAAAACCAAAAACTTTACCTTTGAAATTATGTTAGAAGCATGGATGGGTAGTGAATATTCCATCCGTCACCCTGACATTACACATATCTTGTCTTTAGCTGCACTTGTCCCCCCATCAACAGCGGAAGTGGAAAGATCTTTCAGTTTAATGAAATTGATCTCCATTCGACTTCGCAATCGACTCACGCCAGATAACTTGAGTCACTGCATGCGTATTTGCAAGTTCCATCGAAAGTTAAGCGACGAAAATTTCAATTTGATTATGTTGCGATGGTTGGATGCAGATGAAACGAAGAGTAAATCCAGAAAAGTGTCTTCCAGACTTCAAACAAAATGATGTGCGGATACTCTGAAGAGACAACTGTCAAGTGAAGCTACTACTGAACAATTAATCTTATGTTAAGTTTGTCATCTTCGCTCAACTCTAATTAAATCTTCATTTCATATATTCACTAGCGTTATGTTAAACAAGTACTACTGTACTTTTTGTTGTCTTTGTTTTTAATGCAACTTCTCCACAAACTATCTCTCACGATCTCACAATTATTTCAGCTATAAAACTTACACACTTTTGTCTCTCTCGCCATGCGGTCATACTACTAAAATCACATACGCCAAAAGGTACTTAAATTTAATTCTTAATTTCGGTTGGTAGGCTGTTCCAAAGTTTTGCTGATCTAATAAAGTAAGAGTTTTGAAAGTATTCCTGATTATGTTTTATAATGAGGTGGAAGTTATTTTCGTCATAGTTGCGAGATTGATAGCCAGGGTTGTAAGTCCATAAATATTTGTTTATATCCATTGTTATGAGGTGGTATTTTGATTTGAACAGCAGTATCAGATCAGAAATTTCTCTTCGGAAGTCAAGTGGTAGTAGATTTGTTTTCTGCAACCTGTCCACGTACGACATGTCGGGATAATTCAAGATGAATTTTGTGGCCCTCCGTCGAACATTCTCAATGAGCAAACGATGCTTATGGTGTGAGGCGACCACACGCTGCTCGCGTATTCTAGCTTGGGTCTTACCAGGACACAATACAGAATTCTTGTGTTGGTATTCTTCACTTCTTTAGAAATCCTTTTGATGAGACCAAGTGTTTTATTAGCCGTAGATACAATGCTTTCTATGTGTTTCGACCAGGATAAGTTGTTGGATATGAGCACACCAATATCCTTGAAGGTCGACACTTGTTCGAGTGTGTTCTCATTAATTGAATGCTGAGTTCGCGTAGGTGCTCTTTTTTTTAGGTGTGCATGGTCTTACATTTTGTTGCGTTTAGTTCCATTTGATTATCAGCAGTCCACTTTGTTATAGTGAAAAGATCAAGTTGAAGTAAAGTAGAAGATGTGGGAAACAAAAGTGGTCGGTAAAGTTTTGAATCGTCCGCAAATAACGCAAGTGTGGAATTGTTTCAATGTAGGTTGGAATGTCGTTACAGTAAACAAGGAATAGCAAGGGTCCGAATATAGAACCTTGTGGCACACTTGATGTTACGAGAAGCCATTCAGAGCAAACACCGTGAAGAACGACTCTTTGTTGACAATTGTTGTCTATCTGTGAGGTAGCTTTGGAACCAAGATAATATAGAGATCCCCTGATTCCCATAGTCTCAAGCTTTCTCAAAAGAAGATGATGTGATACTTTGTCAAATGCTTTTGAAAAGTACAAGTATATGGCATCAACTTCATTTTTCCAGAATTTCATGGTATACTTATACAATATAATACAACTCGAACCGTCCTGACCGCGTAGCTCAGTTGGAAGAGCATTGGGCTAGTATTCCAAAGGTCGTAGGTTCGAATCCCACCGTGGCCGGGCATATTTTTCAAGCTCGCCCGGTGTGGATATGCACTCAGAGTAACATCACAAACATATTATTCACCTGAGTACACAACACCAGCACAGAAAAAAATTAATACAAATTTATTTAGAACCTTCCCTCAGGACTTTTCAGGTCTAATTACAAGTTTATAAGTTACAATTTACAAGTAATGAGTTTATAAATTACAATATTTAGAATAGATATAAAATTGAGGGTCTAAATACAGAATTTAAAAAGTTATGTATTAGTTGTAAAAATTAGGCATTAAGGAGCCAGGTCTTTAATGACTGTTTAAAAGTGTTCAATGAAGTACTCTCTCTAAACATTGTTCGGTAAACTATTCCACAATTTAATAGCTCTGTATCCAAATGAACGTTGGGCAAAGCTTGTTCTACATTTTGGGATATCAAGATTATGGCTATTACGAGTCCTACGATTGTGTACGTCAGAACGTCTCTTTACAATTTTTTTTAAATACAACGGTACACTACCGTTAATAATTTTTTATATACCATTTGAGCATCGCGATAAGCTAACATGTCCTGGACTGATAACCATCCAAGGTCTTTAATTGTGGATGAAATATGGTCAAATTTCCTCTTGCCAGAAATTATTCTAGCAGCAAAATTTTGAACCAGTTGTAATTTCCTTATATTCTCTTTAAAGGTACCTGCCCAAACAGTCGAGCAATAATACAATTTACTAAACACAAGATAATTGATCATAGATATCAGAGTTTTCTTATCGAATAAGTGTTGAACTCGGCTGATCTGACACAATGATCCCATAAGTTTAGATGTAAGATTCTGGGTATGATCGGTAAAAGAAAGACATTCGTCCATTATTATTCCAAGATCTTTTGCACAGCGAACTGGCGTTAATTCCTAATTTCAAGTAGCTGTGTGGTTGTGGATTTTCCTCGTATAAAACCATGCTGCATTTGATAAATGTGTAGCTCGAGATGCTGGTAGGAATGGTTGTAAACGCAACGTTCTAGGACTTTCGCAAAATGCAACGTAGTGAGATTGGCCTGTAGTTCATTGCCAGTGTTGGGTCTTCGCATGCATTTGAATACGGGTGCAATATTCGCCATTTTCCATTTATAAGAGGTCCTACACCATTTCCACGCAGTTGATAAATTAGGGATATTTTCAAACATATTAATTATTGGTTTCATGGTTTGGATAAATCCAGATACTAAATGTGTTATCATACAAAGCAGTTGTCACCGAAATGTCACCTTTCTACACAGTTGATAAATTAGGGATATTTTCCAAACATATTAAAAGTTGTTTAGACGAATCTAAGCCAATATGGAAGACACTAAATAGGTCGTTTTTCGAAGCAGTTGTCACCGATATGTCAAGGCCACATTTCTACACAAGTGATAATTTAGGGATATTTTGCAAGCATATTAAAAGTTGGTTTGGATAAATCTAAGCCAATATGGAAAGACACTAAATAGGTCGTTTTTCAAAGCATTGTCACTGATGTGTCGAGACCACATTTCCACATAGTTGATAAGTTAGTGATATTTTACAAACATATTAAAAGTTGGTTTGGATAAATCCAAGCCAATACTCAAATACACTAAATATGTTATCATACAAAGCAGTTGTCACCGATATGTCAAGGCCACATTTCTACACAATTGATAATATAGGGATATTTTGCAAGCATATTAAAAGTTGGTTTGTATAAATCCAAGCCAATACTGAAATACACTAAATATGTTATACAAAGCAGTTGTCACCGATATGTCAAGGCCACATTTCTACACTAATGATAATTTAGGGATATTTTGCAAGCATATTAAAAGTTGGTTTGGATAAATCCAAGCCAACAGGGGCGTAGGAACCGGGGGGGCAGGCCCCCAAGTTTTGCCAAGTGCCCTTTTTCCGGGAGCAAAGTGCCCTTTTTGTTGTGTGAAAAATGTCATTAAGATTGCATTTTTTGCCCAAAGGGCACTTTTGAAAACTTGAATCTATGTTATTTGCGGAAAAAGTATCATATATACTTAAAATTTTTTGGTATATCTGGAAAATTTTTTTCATGTTTAGGGAAAAATGTGATATATCCGGAAAATTTTTTTGGTATGTCCGGAAAATTTTTTTGATGCCCTTTTTTTCGAAAAATGCCCCTCAAAGCCTGCCCCCCCAACTTTTAGTAGCTTCCTACGCCCCTGCAAGCCAATATGGAAGACACTAAATAGGTCGTTTTTCAAAGCAGTTGTCACGGATATGTCGAGACCACATTTCCACATAGTTGATAAATCAGCGATATTTTGCAAACATGTAAAAGTTGTTTGGATGAATCTAAGCCAATATGGAAGACACTAAATAGGTCATTTTTCAAAGCAGTTGTCACCGATGTGTTTAAAACCACATTTCCACATAGTTGATAAATTGGGAATATTTTGCAAACATATCAAAAGTTCGTTTGGATAAATCCAAGCATATTTTTAAAAACACTAATGTTATGAAGGAACTTTATAACATTTTTTCAAAATATTTTATTATTAATTATGTTAATTTATGCGGCCGAGCAAAAGGACTGAGGGGAAGTGTGCTCGGACAGGTGCGAGAATGTTTTTGTTTTTCGTAAAAGTTAAAGACCATGTCAAGTCCGTATAAATGTAAACAAATCCTTTGTTATATTTTGAACTGCTATATTTTAAAATAAGACATACTAAATGAGTATCTAACACTTTTCTGGTTCGCCATTGTAAATGAATATAAACTAGAGTACGTTTCAATTCAAAAAAGTTCGAAAAATTCAAACTTTGGGCAATGGTTATATCTGCGGGTCCTCCTTTGTTGTGAGCAGAACTGATGCGCAGAACGGACTTGACATGATGGTCTTTAAAATTAACGTTAAAGGTCAAAATATATTGCGTTTTTAATTTTTTTCGTGTGAAGCGAGCGTCTGCACAACATTTGGCGATCCTGCCAGGACGAGGTACGTTTGTTTATCGAAATAAAGTGATATTTACAGTGGATTTGTATTTTGATATGACAAAAATATGGGGGATGAAGAAAGCGGGGAGATTGTTTTAAGTAGCGAAACTGTCGAGGAAAATAACACCGAAGCCGATAATACAAGCCAAAATGTGGGAGATAATTTGGTTACCCAACACGGAGAAACTCTAGTAAAGTTGAGACGAGATAAAAGAACACGAAAAACTCGTTTAACAAAATTTAAACACGGTTTGCAAAGATTATGCATTATCAAGGCAGAAAGTAGTGAAATTGAGAGCTGTATTGGAGAGTATGGGAAGTTCTAGAGGAAACTCGTGCGGTAATGGATGAAATGAGTTTGCTATTTTTAAAGATTAGTCTTGCCCAGTCGCATGAAGAAATAATGAAGGAGTCGGACAGTTTACAAGAAGAAATGGAACAGGTAATTGAGAATACTGAGGGAATTTTGACAAATACAATAATGTCTGGGAGCAATGTCACTGAAGGTCTGATAGTTGACCTCCAAACTGTAGCGTCACAAGCTCAACCAAGTAGCTTGTCATCATCGGTATCACCACAACATGTACCCCGAGCGACTCATGTTACAGTAAGGGAAATACAGGAACGAAACCAAGAACATTCATTACTGGGATGGATAGTAGAGAAAGTCAACAGAAACCCCCATGCTCGTTTTGCGGTAAAAGTGGTCATCCAATATGGACCGGCAATATGGTTCTGTAAGCAATTTCGAAAATCCAAGGTCGAATAGCGTTGGAAAACAGCTAAGGAGAAGCAGTTGTGTTTTCGCTGCCTGTCGAAAGATCATCATGGGAAATATCGTCGTAGATCCGGCCATTGTGTGGGCTTGACGGATGCCAGTTAAGTCGTCATCGTTTGCTCCATGACCCCGATTACAGTGGGAAGAAAGCCTGATATGCCAAAGAACAGCAAGGAAGATTTGGAGTCCTCACGCGAGGGGGTATCCTCTCACGTCAATATTACCACTGCAACTTGTTGTTAGAAATCAAATGTTGAAGCAGACTCTTTACGAACAATACCAGTGTGGATTAACGCAAATGGTCGTAAGATAAAGGTGGATGCGGTATTGGATGATGCGTCCAATGAGACATTCATGAACGAGCAAGTTGCAGGTTCATGTTCTGAACAATTCAGTGGAGATCTTCAAATGAATGCCTTTACAGACAGAAATTGAAAGTGTAGATGGGCAGGTTTCCAATTGTGTGACTGTTCAAACGTGTCATGAAGAAGTTACCGGCAATTATCGTGTGGTCGAAATTCCGGGCCACATCTCAGTCTGGCCACATCTCAGTCAATGTAATTTCCCATCATCGACTGGCCACATCTCAGTCAATGTAATTTCCCTGCTGTTGCGAAAGATGGATTAGTCGATGTTTTGATTGGTGTAGACCACCCTGAGCTGCATTTCTCTACGGTCAACTTTCAAGGTGTTGAAGGTGGTCCGGTTGCCCGTCTTGGTCCACTAGGTTGGACTTGCATTGGCCCTCCATTAAAGAATGCGGGTCTCCAGGTCGCATTCCACCAGGAGTTTGCACAGTAAAGGGACGGTGGCTTATCGTGTGGTCGAAATTTCCAGAACGACTGGCCACATCTCAGTCAACATAATTTCCTTGCTGTTGCGAAAGATGGATTAGTTGATGTTTTGATTGGTGTAGATCACTCTGAAATAATGAAATCGGTTGTTGCGAGCTTGAACGTACTTTAATAATAATAATAATAATAATAATAATAATAATAATAATAATAATAATAATAATGGTATTTTAATAACACATCATCGCATGAAAATGAATTACAAAGTGTTTTACAATTGATTTGAATGGGAATTACAATACTAAAAGTAACTATATTACAATATATAATTAGATTATTAAATAAGAACTTATAACTAAGAACAATTATTTGTTTAAAACACTAATCATGCTAGGGAAAAAACTATTACCAAATCTATCAGTTCTACATTTAAAAGAAGCGAATTGTTTAAAATTCCTTAAATTATACACATGTTCGTTCTCACTGGTGAGAGTTAGATGGGAAGAAAGACGACTGCCCAATGCAATATTTTTCATCGTCTTTTCACAAAGTTCACCTCGACGTATATCCAGCCTAGGACACTGCAACATTTCTTGCGCTTCACCATAGGATCGACCTGGCAGTATAATCCTCAGTGCACGTTTTTGAATTTTCTCGACTTGATTGGACAGATACATAGGTAGACCACAATGCCATACTGTACAACAATGTTCTAATGTAGATCTAATCAATGCATAATAAATTGTGATAAGGTCGTGCGGTGGAATCCCTCCCCGTCGTAGGACACGTAGGATATGCAGTCGCTTGGATGCTTTGGTAACAATCATCGAAATATGTTCGTTCCACTTAAAGTCATCCTGGATAATCAATCCAAGAACCTTGTGCGACGATACACATTCAAAGATCTGGTCTTCAACACACAAGTGTGGTAGTTCAGGTTTGTTCCGAAAGAAACAAATTTGCATCTCTTTGCATTTCTTTGCGTTCAATTTCATCAGGTTATTAGATGCCCATGTAGCTATAGAAGTTAAATCGGACTGGATTACGGACGGTTCCCCATTCCTTAATAATCCCTCAGAGATAGTAACATCATCAACGAATTTCCAATTGCCAGACCTCCCCTTTAAAAGCCTTCTGAGATATTAAAGAATGAGTATCACGGTAATGCTTTGCGCGCTTTTGTTTATGTTTACATACGGGAAATTTCTGTATCACGTGCACATTCACTTTACAATTTGCATAATATTACGTATATTGCGTTAATATTTCACAAATTTTGGTCCTTTCGAAGAACATTTTAGTATTTTTTTTTATATAAAATGTCTGAATCAGAGTCTGATCAAGATTTGAATGTGTCGCAGTACGATGTAGAGGACGATCTAAATGCGTACGGATCACCGACATACAAGGCGCAAGAAGCAGCTGTTTGTAGAACGCATGTGAGTATAAATACCCTTTAACAGTTTCCTCGTTGTTTGTTTTATGATAAATAGTTTGGTAGAGTATGTGTTCCGTATATTGATTGATTAAGTCCGTTTCATTTCATTTTTGTAGTTGCAAAAGTAGTAGCAAACGCAACGGTAGAAAACGACCGGGATGCCCATGCCGAGGAGCACAAATGTGCTGATCGCTGTTCATGTGAACGAAGGCAGGTTGTAAGAATAAGCTTCAACAGGGAACAGTAGCAGCTACAAATGCCGGACGAAATGCTTTTGAGCGTCATCAGATCGCGTCCAGTTTAGCAATAAAGTCGCATGTTTGTAATACGTTTCCTGTTGTATTAGTTATCTGAAGCTCTTGCGTTGAGTATTTGGTACCGACACAAACACAGAAATATATGAAACTTCGAAAGCATTATTCACAGGAACTTAATATTTTTAGGAATTCATTGGAACTTTGACAGTTGGCGAAAAGGATAAGGTACTGCTTGAACTTCTGTCAAATTATGGTAAAGGTACTAGGCTTGATACGCCAAACGTCTAGTGCAATTTGGTGGACAAGACAAGGCAACCATGGTGTACATTTGGAGTATGTCAAGCTATGCCAACTGAGGAGGAAAATAAGTGTTGCACATAAATCACATCTGTGACATATGTGACATTCCAAAACACATGCGCAGCCCGGGATGTATTGGTCATGCCGTGATGGCTGTCCCAGCGAGGTGCGATATCAGGGCAGAGGAGCAAGACTATTCAACAAACAACTTTAGAAAGGCAGCATATCGCCAGTACATTTTATGGCGGTGTAAGAAATGTACTTCACATAATTTATCTAAAATATTATTATCTTTGCATTACCAATCTATATTATTATAGCAATTACTATATTATTATAGCTTTATTTTTTAATATTGCAAGTCCTCCATTTTGCCCGTTTACGAAATATGCCCCTTCTCTAATAGGCCCCTTTTCAGGAGAAATGTATTATTGTAAACCCCTGTCTAGTAAACCCAACCCCATTTTATTACAAAGAAACACATGCACATTGATTAGATTAATATTATTACTATATTTAGCATTTACAGAATTTTGTGCTTTATCATCAAATCCTTTTATTCTAGATCTATATTTACAAACAACCAATATTCCATACTTGTTTCAAATATTTTGTTGTATTTGCTGTAGTTTTCTGTATAGTTGTATTAATATATTCTGTAATGTGATTTAAATTTTTTGTTTATACTTTGTTTTGATTAAATCCATCTGATTGTTTTTTTTTTTGTCACATGCATGATTGCTTTTATATTGTTAGTATAAAAGATTCTGTAATTTTCCCGTAGTAACTCCAGACAAAAGTGCCATACTCTTCTGGAAATCTATAAAACAGACAATATTTGAACATCTAACAAGCAAATGGTTTATAAGGGTACAGTACATAATACCAAATGGAGAGGTTTTCCTTGTTACTATAAATATGGGAAATGGGTAATGTTCACAATCAGTATCTAGTAGAAAGTGGATTGCAATGAGAATGTTACAATACCGATAATTGTCTCTTACCCTTGAACATCATAAATGCACTAATAGGTTATAGGAAATGAGGAATCCTGTTCTAGTGGATAATAAACTGTACTAGAACATCCCAAAGGGGGAATGGAGAAGTGTGGGGGAAGTGTGGATTTTTTATCGGATGACTCATTGCATACTATTTGAGTTGCCATCAAAACTCAAAAGATGCTGCTACTTATTAAAACACTAAATTTTCAATACCAGTAATAATTACCTAATATCATCATGATCTGATTCCAAACTTGTACTATCACTCTCAAATGATGGGTCTTTATGGCATAATCCAAATTCAGGATTGACAGATATGGAAAGATTTTCGATGTAGTTGCAACATCCATGGCTCTGTTAGGGAAAAGTAAATGAAATTAACCCTGATTTCCATTTCATAACAGGAGCACATCCATCAATGTGAAATAGCCAAGATGAGCCAAACGACGGGCACTTGTTGATGACATATGTTTATATTGGTTGAGAAATATTGATGTTGAGGATATGTACTATATATAATAGCATGTGAATTTAATAATATTAATAGCATGTCAATTTAATAATAAAGAACAAAATAGATAAGATACAAGATATACCCGTTGCTAATAACTGAAGACTTAATTTGTATGGAAGCCGGGCTTGCCCTCTTAGTGAGACAGCCTGTTAAGCGAGATCTCACTGTGTACTTATTTTAATTTATACTAAAACTAAGTACCGCTTGAAAGAGGTGAGATGATGTAAAATATAAAGAAATTAATTGCATTACTAACAAATATGTAGTATTTACCATCGCCTGGAGATTCCATTGATAATTGCAAAGGCTCGTCTTCGCCATAATTCAGAAGCAAGTACCGTGCAAAATCACTTGTGTCTTCGTTAATTGAGAATACAATAGATTCTTTTCTGGTAATCCACATCTCATGTACGTCTTTTAATTTTATACGCACAAATTCTATCTCGACATGATCGGTATTATTCTTTATACATAAACACCATCACACTATAGACTTCAATTTGTCGTTTATTGCAAATAAATATGAAATGCTTAACAGTAGGTCAATCTACATATTCACAGCCCAGAATTTCAGGAGTAATGAATAATTTATGATGAAAATTGTTCGAATATTCGCGGATTAAGTCGCACAACTCGTAATATACGAAAGTCGCCATTTTCCGGGCACCCTAAAATGGCCGACAAGCTGCGACCAAGCGCGCAAAGCATTACCGTGATACTCATTCTTTTAGAATACAGGTGTTGGGACGGCAATTGCTAGATAGTATACTTCAAAATAAGATTTCCGTTTTTATTCTATTTTTAAAATAAGTTAGAGTTAGGTTAGGGTTTAGGTTAGGGTTAGGTTGGGGTTAGGGTTAGGTTTAGTATTAGGGTTAGGGTTTAGTTTTGCGTTACGATTGTTTTTTCTACGTTATAAAAACGGAAACCTTATTTTGAAGTATACTGTCTAGCGATCACCGTGTTGGGACGGCACGCAAAGTCATGGCGAAAGAGGAGAGATTTGCCTTGGAGAAAGTTAGGAGCTCACTTTCATTCGTAGAGGGAAGGTATCAAATCGGAGTGCCATTTAAAAAGATCGTCCGCAGTTGCCTGACAACCAGCAGTGTCCCGTCTTGCCTCAACAAAGAAGAATTTGAGAAAAAATCCTGCTGTCGCGAAAGAGTATTGCCGAACCATTGCAGGATATGCAGAGAAAGGTTATCTGCGAACAATCGACCCTAATGAAAGGAAGCCAACTGCGCAATGGTATTTGCCTCATTTTCCGGTGATCAGATTTGACAAATCTACAACAACATTGTCTTTGACTGCTTTGCAAATTGTGACGGTGTTTTCCTCAACGATGAGATTCATGTTGAGCCCAATCTTCAGCAAGACTTGTTTGATGTCTTGTTAAGATTTCGTCGCAACCTGGTAGCAGTAGCATGCGACATCAAGGAGATGTATTTGCAGATTACCAGTGAGAAGCAAGATCCACCATATTTAACCACCAATGCTCTGCCAACTGAGCTACGCGGTCAGGTCGGTTCGAGCATGTTATATTTTTCTGAACTGAGTCTGGTTCCTTCGATATCAATGTAATCTAGTAATCATGATCTTTTCTGTGTTGGTGTAACGTACTCAGGTGAATATAATGCTTGTGATGTTACTCTGAGTGTATATCCACACCGGGTAAGCTTGGAAAATATGCCTGGCGGGAATCGAACCTACGACCTCTTTGGAATACTAGTCCAATGCTCTGCCAACTGAGCTGCGCGGTCAGGTCGGTTCGAACATGTGAAATTTCGGAACCGAGTCTGGTTCCTTCGATATCAATGTAATCTAGTAATCATGATTTTTCTGTGTTGGTGTAACGTACTCAGGTGAATATGATGCTTGTGATGTTACTCTGAGTGTATATCCACACCGGGCAAGCTTGAAAAATATGCCTGGCCACGGTGCGAATCGAACCTACGGCCTTTGGAATACTAGCCCATAATACAAGCATCATATAACACAGAAAAGATCATGATTACTAGATTACATTGATATCGAAGGAACCAGACTCAGTTCCGAAATATCACATGCTCGAACCGATCTGACCGCGTAGCTCAGTTGGCAGAGCATTGGGCTAGTATTCCAAAGGTCGTAGGTTCGATTACCACCGTGGGCAGGCATATTTTTCAAGCTTTCCCGGTGTGGATATACACTCAGAGTAACATCACAAGCATCATATTCACCTGAGTACATTATACCAACACAGAAAAGATCATGATTACTAGATTACATTGATATCGAAGGAACCAGACTCGGTTCCGAAATATCACATGCTCGAACCGACCTGACCGCGTAGCTCAGTTGGCAGAGCATTGGGCTAGTATTCCAAAGGTCGTAGATTTGATTCCCACCGTGGCCAGGTATATTTTTCAAGCTTGCCCGGTGTGGATGTACACTCAGACTAACATCACAAACATCATATTTAAGAATGTTGTGGAGAGATTTGGATGAAGAGAGAGCCTACAGAATTTGAGTTCAGCTGTGTGGTTTGTGGGGAAAATTCGGCACACAGTGTGTGGCGCACGAGAACGCAAGGAAACATCAAGAGCTTTTTCCTTTGGCTGCTGAAACAGTTTTGAAGTCCACATACATGGACGACTCTCTTGATAGTGCTGAGAACGAAGAAGAAGGAATACGCTTGTATCACGAATTGAAGGATCTCTGGGAGAAAGCAAACATGCACGCGAGGAAGTGCGTGTCCAATTCGCAGGAAATAATGGAAAAGATTCCAGCAGAAGACAGGGCTGGTGATATAACAATAAATTACGCACAGACTCCAACCACCAAGACTTGAGTATTTCTTTGAACAGCCAAGATGACGTGTTTAAGATCCCCATGTCTTCAAAGGGAATATTACAGATGACTAAGAGACGCCATGGAAACACGATCGTACGCAGATGGGACGAGCAGATCCAAGATGAACTAGCTTCGAGAATCGGAAAGTGGTTTCACGAGTTGGGAATGCTAGGTACGATTGTCATTCCAAGATGTCTTCGCTATGTGGAACCATCGAAGGCTGCATACGCCGCAGTCAGTTACATTCGTCACGAGTATGAGAATGGGCAAGTTAGTTGTCGCCTAGTAGCAGCAAAATCCAAAGTCGCCCCTCTAACGTCGGTAACCATACCAAAGCTCGCGAGCTTATGGCTGCCATTCTGGGATTGAGATTGACTCAATCTATACATGAAGTCATGTGTCTTCGGATTCAAGAAGCGAGCTTTTATTCGGACAGTGTGGACGTTTCATGGTGAATCCGTGGAAGAGGAAAGGATTTCAAATAATTTGTAGCTAACCGTGTCGGCGAGATCCAGAGTGCCACCAATCCATCCCAGTGGCAACATGTATCCACTACCGAGAATCCGGCCGATTTGTGTACCCGTGCGCAAGTCCATCTCAACTAGCCAAAGATATGACATGGTGGGAAGGTCCAGTATGGTTGAAAGAGAGAAGCGAAAACAGCGATGGAGAAAGGTTCAGCATTTTTTACTCGTTAGTGTGGCGTTTGTGGATGAACAAACACCTGCCTATGTCGGCTCCTCGTGCTAAGTGGTTTCAAGAAATGGAAAATCTACAGGTGGGAGATGTTGTATTGGTCACACAAGAAAATCTACCTCGTGGTCATTGGCCTCTTGGTCGAGTCCTGGAGATATATCCCAGCAGAGACGGACATAACCGAGTGACCCAATCCACAAACTAGTCCCGCTGAAACATTGAGTGTATCTTTTCACACTTCGCTCAGTGTGGGAATGGGAATGTTATGAAAAAACTTGGCTTTTTTATATTGGTAAAATATTTTATTATTATGTTAATTTATTTATTAAATTATGTTAATTTATTTGTTAATTTATTTATTATTATTTTATCATTAATTATGTTAATTTATGCAAAAGGCTGAGGAGAAAGTGTGCTCGGACAGATGCGAGAAGGTTTTTGTTTTTTGTAAAAGTTAAAGTTTATCGTTAAAGATCATATTATATTGGGTTTTTAAATTCGTTTTTACGTGTGGAGCGAGCGTCTGCACAACAACTAAATAGGTCATTTTTCAAATCAGTTGCCACCGATATGTCGAGACCACATTTCTACACAGTTGATAAATTAGGGATATTTTCAAACATATTAATTGTTGGTTTGGATAAATCCAGACACTAAATGTGTTATCATACAAAGCAGTTGTCACCGAAATGTCAAGGCCACATTTCTACACAGTTGATAAATTTGGGATATTTTGCAAGCATATTAAAAGATGGTTTGAATAAATCCAAGCCAATATGGAAAGTCACTAAATAGGTCATTTTTCAAAGCCGTCACTACCCGATATGTCAAGACCGCATTTCCACATAGTTGATAAATTAGGGATATTTTGCAAACATATTAAAAGTTGGTTTGGATAACTCCAAAGACACCAAATGTGTTATCATACAAAGCAGTTGTCACCGATACATTTCCACATAATTGATACATTTGGGATATTTTGTATTGGTAATTACACGGTTTGGGAAATATCATTGTTTATTTAAATTTTGTGTTTACATTTCTGCACTAGCACATGAGCGTGCAGAATTGCCGCGCTCTTGGCACAATTTTTAACCAATCAGAATCGAGTAAATTGACGAAAATGATATGAAGAAGATAGGTCGACCACCTCAAACGTTGGTTTTGGTTCTTTTAAAAAAGTCATACTGAATAGGTTTCTAGGTAGTGTCGGGTTGTGTATTTTGTTTTTATTTGGGTGTAAGTGTCGTTTTTTGCACAAAATGTTGTTGTCGTCGTCGTCGTCGTCGTTTTTCTTGTGTTGTTGGTGCCGCTTTTACGTTGTGTTGTGTTGTGTTGTGTTGTGTTGTGTTGTGTTGTGTTGTGTTGTGTTGTGTTGTGTGTGGCTGTTGGTGATATGTTGTTGATATTGGTAATCTGACTTTGATTTCGAAATTTTATCCGGTGTTCCGTTCGGTCACAGTTGTCTTGAGTTAGTGATACCAGTGCTGTCTTCAATTTGTTTGTCAGAAGTGAGTTAGTGCTATGTTGCATTTGTGTTTGTGTATAGTGTAGTAGTGTTGTGTCATTTGACTATGCTGTGTTGCATAGGCGTACGGAGCTACAGTTGAAAGTTTGCCCGAATTTTTATGCATGGAGGACTGTAATGAAATAACCCGAATTTAAGATATTTTCTGAAAAAAATTGCCCCAATTTTCTTGATTTTTCCGACCATTTCCATGGTTCTCTAAAGTTTGGGGTAGGGGGGGGGGGGGCGTCTCGTGTACGACTATGCTGTTTTCTTGTTTGCATTGGAAATAATTTGGAGTTGTTTTATTGTCCATTCAAACTACGTTTTCCAGTTACTGTTGTATGCAGTTGTATTTAAATTAAGATGTAGACATTACAATTACATCAAACAACATGAATACGACACGAATAAATTAAGATTAGGTCGACCTAGCATTGGATCAGTTTAAAGAAGACTAAAACGTCCCGGTGTTTCTGCCACTAAAGCTAAATGTTAGTGCAAAATTTAAAGTTATTCAGTGTACAGAAGATATATAGGACACAATGTTTAGCCCCAACACAACAGCTTGCCCAGTGTATGATAACCCTCCTCCTTACTGCCTCCTGTATCACCAAATCTCAACTCGCTCACTGGCAGATATTCTTTGTCGACCAAGTACCCGCTGTCTTCAGCCCATTCGCCTGCCACATTTTGACAATTGCAGACTTCGTTGGGATAGTAACAGGTACGATCCATGCCACAGGCACAGCTTTTAGCACTTGGAGTCGAACCACCCCAATACAACATTTTGTATCCTTGACGTGATACCCACCAGGCATATTCACCTATAGATGATTGGAAATTGAAGACGGTACCTGTGCACTCGAATTTTATGAATTGCTTGCAATGAATTGACTCATTAACAACGTTCTCGATTTGTTTCATGGTCGCGTTGTGATATGTTATATCTCTACTGTAGGACCCTGGATCTTCGTAGCCAGTGACGTGAGTTCTTTCTTCACTGTCGTGACCAAACACTGTCACACCAACGCCATTATTGTCAGTCATATTGCAGAAAACCGTAAATGGAGCTTCGTTTTTCTTTGGTTGAATGGTATAGTAACCGCTGCGTTTTTTCGGTTCATTCGACTTGATCGCAGAACAGGTTGAAGGTACATCTACGAAAAAAATTGCTATATAATTTAATCTTGGAAATTAAATATTTGCAGATCTGTTTGAACTGTGTTGAGGTTGAATGCATAATTTGTTTGACATCTTTGATCACGTACTTCCGAGTGTATTAACCAATCAACATTCACTAAATTTTGAAATTTAAAATCTTTTTTATACGTGTCGGGGTATACACTTGAAGTGGAAAAGGGCTTTCAGATTACGTTTGAAGTTTTGGCGAGTCGAGCCGTTCCGTTCGTTTCCTGCGGTTAGTTATGTAGCGCGCAGATACAAGGCTGAAATTCTTGTTATCATGCAGTTTATAATATGATCTCATCAGTGGCGTGCTGGCAGGGGGGGCCGGGGGGCCACGGCCCCCCCAGCTGGCAATTTTTGAGGGGCGCAAAAATGAAAAGGGGGCGCCGATCCCGCGCCGAATTTTGAAAGTAGGTGGGAAGAAACGCATTCGTAGAAATATAGTTACTAATTCCGCCAAGGAAAGATGTGTTTATAGACTTATAAACAGACTAAGCGCATAGGCTACAAAGTGAGTGAGTATATTAAATTGCAGACTATTTTGTCTAACCGTATTTGCTACCTCACGACTCACACGAAATCACTCGTTCATATAGAAACATGATAAGTGATCACACGCAATGTCTCATTACCGGAATATTGATCAGGCTTCGAAGCGATCACGGGAATCATGCATATGCGTGGGGTCCGTGTGTTATTGTATAAAAGAGCTGTAAGTTGTAAATGAATTCAGATCAGTAAAGAATAAAATTGGGATTAGATTAATTGCTGGAAGTGGTTAGCATTGCCCAATTTAAGTGCTACTACTAAATTCTAACCAATTTTCAAATTTCGACACGTTGTAATGCCGTTTCCTGACCATCAGATTTCTGTCAAATCTTCCCCCAAAGTCCAGGAAATGGCATTTCAGAGACTCTAAATTCAAAAATTTTCCCGGGGGGCATGCCCCCGGACCCCCCTAGACAAACCTCGCACCTGTGGCGCTCGGCTTGTGCCTTCGGCCCTCGTTTATCAAGGGTAATATATAGGGGCGCATATTAGTTGCCAGCCGACTGGCCCCCCCAGAAAAATAGTACCCAGCACGCCACTGGATCTCATCCAACAACTGTTTATTGTTTTCAGGGATTAATACCTCCAAGACAAACATACTTCGTCTCAATAAATTCATCGATGCCATACTTTGATCCCTCACGTCCTATATCCGACTGTTTTCTCCTCCAACCATTTATTCACTGAAAATTTTGTTTACCCAACCCTTTTCTCCGTGCCACCTCCTGTCATAAATATGAAGAACACCCGGTAGTTTACTACAAGGGCCTACAAAATACCTTCTTCTGTTGCTAGGGTCTCAAAGTAACTCGCTCGAGAGCTTGCGACCAGAGCTTGATCGTTAGCAGTTTCAGCCACATTTGAATTTAGTTCACAGTTTAAATGAACTGTAGGATCTGTCATGAAGTTGAAGGACTTGCATTTGGAATTTAGTGATTTCTCTAACGAACAATAATGAGCACATATTATTTGGTTTTGTGCACTTATGGATCGCAAAAGACTATTCTTGAGTCGAAACCCTGCCACGAAAAAAACCCAAAAGATTAATTAACAATTATTGGATGAAGTTCAAAGTAATGATCGACATTCACTGGGAAAATTCTCAAGATAATTCCTTCATTAGTTCATTATATACATAATACTATTTGTAAAATTACATTTTATTATAAGTTATCTCATACATTATCGTAATTTTTTCTAATTTCATGGGTGTATAACAATTAATGTTTGACAAATTAAATTCGTCCAATTTATGCATGCACCCCAGGCTTACAAGACTTCCAAACAGGGTCGAGACAACGAGAACTCGTTGTGGGCCCTTGCCATTCTTTGCCCCTAAAATAGAAACATTAAAATGTTTTCAAACATTGAGATTTTAATTTTCAAAATCAAGACTAAACCAATTGCAGTTTATATTGTAAAAATGAGAATTCGCGAAAATATTACGGAAGAATTTTCGTATGTGGGACCGAAAAGTTACGATATGCCCGGAAAAAATGTAGTCTTCCCAGAAAATTGTCGAAATGTCCGGAAAAAATTGTGCATTCCAGGAAAAAGTACGATATGTACGGAAAAGGTTTAGTATATCGGGAAAAATTGGCGACGTCCCCCCCCCCCCGCTCACCAACAATTTTTTGAAAAAATATTAATATTTAGTCATCGTTCACTGGGCCCCATCAGACGTTGCTCATTCGTTGTCTTTTTAAGCCGCCAGCACGTCCCTGTTTCCAAAACTTAGCCTAAGGGTAAGTTTTCATTATTAAGCTTAATACAATGCCATACACATATCCTCAGCTCCGTAATGTGCAACATGCAAATACTTTGCGCATCATGGGACGGGGGGGGGGGGGCTGTGTCGCTGACAGAACTTTATATATTTACGGGATAATTATTAACTAATTATAGTAATGCATGACTAATGAGATTAACCTGATTGACACGTAATTTGACGCACATTTATATTCAGATAGATTGAGACAAAGACTTATAGTGTTAAACGAAAGAGATATGCTAACCTGTGTTGAAGCTAACCTGTATTTGTATGTGTATTTGTATATTCAGTATCAGTAAGACTAGATTGCGAAGACCTGGCAAAGAAGTAAGTCTCATTTATTGAAATTATGCGGTATATTACTCGAAGAGAGCGCACAGGTATATATCAGGCACTATTTGTTATTCTATACTTACAATTATTATTCCTTATAATTACTTACTAGATCGAATAAAAACCTATCAATATTCATTGATTTATACGGTTCCGTGTCTCGCGATCTAACCGGGAAGTTTATTTACCCTGAATAATCCAGGGGCTATAAATTAAAAAATAAACAGTAACATTGGTGGCGGGATGCCTGTAAGGCCCACATCGTCCACATGTGTTTTGAAAATTGAAGATGGACTGTACTTTCAGTTTAATTTAAACACAACAGGATACCTTCATGTTTGCTATTCTTTCGCATGTAATATACTATTCCATGCTGGGTTTTTCGTTTATAATTAAGTCGCAAATGGAGCCTAATTTTTCAAACGTATACTTGTTGACATATGGCATCATTTGTAATGAGGATTTTCTTTAATTTGCATGTGGCGCAAATTAGAGCTCTCCTGCTTCAGTTAGTATAACTCAAAAACTAAAAGAGCTATGACAGAGCTATTGCACACGTGTATATACAAGTAATGGGCAATTCCAGCTATTGACTAAATTTTGATCTAGGCAAGAAGAACAAAATCCATCGCCATGCACAGCTAGAAAGGGCATGTTAAAATTAGCAAAATTGCAAAGATTGGTTGCGAACTGATGTTATTCTAAAATGAGTAAAATAAAGCCTGCAAATTTTGTGTTAATCCCCGAGCCAAAGGCGCGGAGCGCCGTTCCGGGCGTTAGCCTGGGGCGAGGGTACTAATGCCGCCCGGCTATTTACACCCGGGGAAAGGGAAGTATTAGCGAAGTCTAAAGTTCATCAATGATCGCGGACGTCGGTCACCAACCGTGGGTGGTCATCCTCACTGATCTCAAAAATATGGCTGTTTGCCAGGAGTGGGATAAGCAAGATTTCAATTTTCAAAAGCATATATTTGGAAAATCACGTTTCACATAATGAGCTTTAAAGCAATTTTTGTTTGAAGAAATGAGAAGAATTGATTTACTGTGGGAAATCGTGAAATATAGGGCGGCAAGTTTGCTTTGAATGTTTAATTTAATGTTTATGAATTTTGTTTCTTTAATTTTATATTGCGTAAAACATGCACTGCCACTGCTTTCCTTTTCAATGAAGCTGTATTAAATTAAGTTTGCTAAATTACTCTATTTAATTTAGGAAAAATGGGTAAAATGTAAAGGAGAGCAAATTAATTTGAAAAACGAATTGAAATTACTCAACAATTTGAACTTATTTTGTTGCATTTATAAGTAAGAACAGTTATCGGAAAAACCAAAAAAGCAGTTTATAGTTATTAAAATGAACATTTCAAAACATTTTACGAAGCGATTCAGGTTAAATTTTACATTAAATCAAAGCTCACAAAATGCAGAACAATATACCTATACAGTACATATTTTGGAAATTCATTGTTATATAGTTAAAGTCAGTTAAAGGTAATAATCGTTCAATCGGCGTGTTGTACAAAAAATGTTTGGAAAATACAGGCGAGGGGTTGCTGCATGCATGTATTTCTAGCTAATTTGTATTACGCACGGGAATTTGCACCACTTTCGTCCCAAATGTGGCGCATTCTCCCACGCATAATGTAAATTAATACAAAATTTACAAATTTCGCAGGGCTATACTTCCGCATTTTACAACATTTCGCGGCCAAACTTTGCAATTTTACTAATTTTAACATGCTCTTTCTAGCTGTAATGATGGATTTTCTTGCCTAGATCAAAATTTAGTCTATTATAGCTGAAATTACCATTAAGGAAGTTAAAATGCAAACAATATTAATAATTTACAAAAGTATTATTAACTAATGGCTTTAAAACATGGAGTTAAAAGTTTCTATTGTCTTCGATATTGTTCCAAGCTAAAGCGTTAGTGTTGGGTTTGGGGAAGAAGGCGCATTGGCATTGCATTCAGCAATGTTTAACTTAAATTTTGATGTACGTCATGTGCATTTAGATGCAATATTGAGCTAGATAACTGCGTTTAAGCTTGAGTGAACATTTTTAGAAGCGTCGAGAATTAGCCAAATACGGCCTATTAAATATTAATGCAGCAATAACCCGTGTTCAGACGCACTGAGTCAAAAAGTAGCTATACACGCTCGTTATTCAAGGACAAATGTTCATTGATAGGAAATGCAGATCTTGCCATTTTGCGTATAAAAACTTCCTGCCTCTTTTAAAATAGCGCAGCACCTTCGGCCTTCACAGCATATTCATTTAGTTCTTGTATCATAGAAAAGAAACAGAGGGTCAAGAATTCAAAAAGAAACAGAGGGTCAATTCGATTATATTCGATAAACCAATTTCGGTTAACAACTTTGTCCTTTATTAAGATTGTGGCAAGTCCCCCCTGCCGTAAACTTTCGAAACGTTTTCATAACATAACTCAGTAGTGTTCGATCACTCGTCGCTAAGGTCACCACAACTTTCATTCCCTAATTGTAAGATTGGAAAACGTTCAAAGCCACGAAATTTATTCTCAATCTGCCGTTATACCTCGCGATTACAGTCCTTATCTTTACTTCCACTATGTTACTGGCATGAGTTTTTGGATTTGGTTTTTTTCTTTAAAATGGTGAACAATCAGGTAATAATAGAACCTTCTGTAGTACCAAAAACCCGAAGCGCCAGACCGACCAGATCGTCTATAAACACGGACATACCTAAGTTTGTCATTCCCAGGAGCAAAACAACGACGCATCAACGCTCGTTTCTAATTCGAACAACCAGGGTGTGGAACAGCCTAGCTGACGAACTGAAACTTAACATGATAAATTTGAACTCATTTAAATCTACTATTCTAAGTTATTACTTCCGTGCTTTGGAAATTTCCTACGATCCTGAAAATCCAAGAACATTCAAAACTATATGGACCAAGTGTAATACCGCTCGAACTCTGGTTCAGCATCTCAAGTGCTGCTATTAGTTATAGTTTTATTTTGATAGTTTTTTTATGTTTGTATATCCTAATTTGGGCCCGCAGTAATTGGCTTAGGCTGTTACGGTCACCCTGCCTATAGTCATGTATATTAATCTTGTTCTTGTTAGGGAAGCCTCACATATCGATTTTGTCCATGAGAAACGTCATATGTTCGTTTCTCTGGAGACCCCACCCCCCCCCACCCCCCTTAGAAACGTCACACATTTTATCGATATTTTGTTCTTATAGTACACATGAATAAGGTAATTTTCTATATACATTTTTTCGGTCGGCTATTGGCGATGCTTCCGCGAGGAATATGACATACTCTTTTTCTTCAAAATTTCCAACGTTTCTCAAAACAACTTTTTTGCATGAAATTGAAATATTGATAATTTTAGCGCGCCTTTCTTGAAATTTGAGTGTTTACAATGCAAGGAAGCCGTAATAATATAAATGCATAGGTATAGAACAGGTATGGTATTACGAATGTATAGACCGCTGTTTGTATCAAATTATTTTCTTTTTTATATTCTGCAAAGATAAAAACTATCGAATTTTTCCATGATGTTTACAGAGAAACGTCACAGCTGCCAACCCCCCCACCCCCAAACGAACATATGACGTTTCTCGTGGAAAAAATCGATATGTGAGGCTTCCCTTATAGTTTTGTGTATATTAATATGGCGAAACTAATAAATAAATAAATAACCACAGCAACTTGCCAAACGCCGTATTACCTCACGAGCATTATTATACCCTTGCATATTTTAAACAAAATCCACGCCCTTTGGTCCTTCGTTAAACGAGGCATATTTA